ATCATTCAATCCTGGCCATAAAGAAATTCCATTAACAGTTACCAGAAACCACAATATATATGGAAATAAAATGCTATATTCCTGATGTAGTATAACTACAATCTCTATTTTTGTCAGCATATTACCCGAATATCTGCATTTGTGTTTGTGTATGTGTGTAGTAAGATAATTGTTTATGGAGCCCTAGAGATGGCTGAAATGTACATCACATTAAGAGCTTCCTAACCAGTCCTCCAATCTATTACCATAAATAATTACATGCATGGGGACACAGTGGCGCAGCGGCTTAATGACGCTGAAAGTTGCCGGCCAGGAATGGTCGACGCTTCAGCGGTTTGAGCCCAGCTCTGTGCGGCAGAGTGAGCTCCTGTCTCATCCCCAGCTCCTGCCAACCCAGCAGCTCAAAAGCATCCGTGAGTAGATAAATGGGTACTCTCACCCCGGTGGGAGGAAAAATGCTGGTGGTGCCTTGCACGGGAGACGGAACCAGTTGCTGGTAACGCGGAAGTTGTGTGCGCCCGAAAACGGCACGAAGCAACGGAAAAACCCCACCTCCCTGCGCTCACCAGCTGGGCTCCGCTCTAGGAAGGAGGCAATGGCAAACCACTTCCAAAACACCTTGCCATGAAAACCGCAGGGACTCGTCCAGGCAGTCGCTGCAGAATCAGCCACGATTAAGTGCGGATTAAAAAAAAAAAAAATTACATGCAACGTTTGGAGGCTTATCTATTGGGCTAAAGTTTTTCCTAGATTCTTTAAGGAAGAGGCCTAAAAGGGCTGAAGTATCCAATTCAGTTCTTTAGAAATTAAGTGCAAATTTCAGATCATAGGCTGAAATATTCTAGAATTAACTGGAAAGCATTTCAAAATCTCTGCTCATTTTGCAGTCCTTCATATCAGAACAATCTAAAATAACAATTGTTTTTTAAGTAAAAAAACATAGCATTCTGCTATGCTATGCCAGGGTGCATTCATATTTACAGAGATGACAATGTGATATCTAGATATGTTTTGATATATATTGAGCACTCCAACAAATTACGTTTTTATTTCCCCCACCAGTGGTATAAGAATCCAGACTACAACTTGTTTACTCCATATGTACAACATCGCAGTAAGAATCCAAACCAGCCATTCTATATTCTTCATCCAAAATTTATATGGCAGCTCTGGGATATTATTCAAGAGAACACTAAAGAGAAGATACAACCCAATCCTCCCTCTTCAGGTTTCATTGGTAGGTATCTGATGGTAGATTTACTCATGAGTTGTGTCTCTGTAATAATTACTTGTACAAGTTGAAATCTTGCATATCAGCATGGTAAAAATAAAAATATTTCAGAGACTGATGGAAAGCATGCTCTTCAACAGTAGGTGCCATATCAACTGCTCATTTTTCCTAATTTTTCCAGGACACCCTGGGATTTCTGAAAAAAACATTTTATTATTGAAGTGTCCTCGAAAAATTATATCTACAGTAGACAAGGAGCTATACTTGGTTTTGTACAAAGACAATATATAAAACTAATGAATAATGACTAAAGTCATAAATCATCTTACCAAGTCACAGTTCAACTCTGGATATGAAAGCATTTCAAGATATGGCTGCACTGGCCCTTGGAGATTAATGGAATATTTTAGCTCAAGGAAATTATAAATAGCTCAAGCTGAAATTATAAATAGTTTGGCATAAAGATGTTTCAGTGATATTTGCATAAAATATCAAAGAATATATTAAACGTAATGTCACAATCCAGAGGATACAGACTAAAATACAATGGCTACTTTCTAATATCATAACGAGGTCATCCAGCTGGCTTTGTGCCAGAGGTGGGACTAGAACTGACAGCCTCCCAGTTTCTAGCCTGGTGCCTTAACCGCTACACCATCCTGGCTCTCTTGCCATTAGTTGGGTCATCTTTATATTTCATCTTAGTCTTATTTTTTCACTATGTTCTGTGACTTTCATTACTAGGGCTGGCAGATCATTTGCATTTTCAGCTATCCTAGTGGTGTAATTGGCATAGCATAGGTGTTGTTTCTTCCTCTAATTTTAAAACCACACTCATCTTCTTTGAATTCTGCTTCCTTCAATATATATTCAGCATATAGGTTGAATAAATAAGGAAAGGGTATACAGCTTTATCTCACTCTTTTGCTGACTTGAAGCCAGTCTGTTTTGCTATATTCTGCCAAGACTGTGGCTTCTTGTCTGGTGTATAGGTTTTATATGAGGACAGTGGGATGTTCTGGCATTCCCATTTTCCTAAGTATATTCCAAAAGTTGACGTGATCAACACAAAGGCCTTTCTATGCTTAATTAAGCACATATTGACTTTTTGGTATTTTGGGGGTTTCTCAATTATCCAGTGGGCATCAGCAATAACGTTTCTTGTTCCTTGGCCTTTTCCAAACCAACCTGAACATTTGGTTTTTTCTCTTATCACATAGGGCTCTAATCTTTATTGCAGGATCCTAAGCATTATTTTGTTAGCATATGAAATTAAGCTTGTTGTACAATAGTTTTCACACTCTGTTAAGTCTGCTTTCTTTGGTATTCGTATGTAGACTGAGCTCTTCCAGTCTGTTGGCCACTGTGTCATTCTCCAGATTGGCTGGCACAGTGTGATTAGAACCTTTACTGATTCTTGCCATATTTCTGTAAATATTTCATCAATTCCTATAGCCTTCCAACTTGGCAGTGACAGAGTGTTAATCTAACTTCATCATCTAGTACAGTGGTACCTCGGGTTACGAACGTAATCCGTTCCGTGACTCTGGTCGCAACCCAAACTGGTCGCAACCCGAAGCAAATTTCCCCATAAGGTTCAATGTAAATACGGTTAATCCGTTCTGAAACATATGCATTTTATTTTTAAACC